CGTGAACCCATTTACAGGGACGAAGATAACTGCTGAGTAGAAGGGGGCTACTGGAGGTTCAGTCACTTCGCTGCGTGTCCCCAGCCTTGTGGAGGTGGACGGTGATGTGTTTGCCGTTGCGGAGGCTCAGTGCAGGAAGAAAGACGGCGGTGGCGACTGCATCACTGGGATTGCGTCAAAGCGCCTCGACAACGTTGGCGGTGTTACAGCGGAGGCGTTGACGGCGGATGCGAGTTCATTTGACATAAAGACGCTGAAGGGAGGCGAGACGGTCAGTGCCAAGGCGGTGGATATAATGCAGCCAACAACACTTGTGCATGGCAAAGACATCTACATGCTGCTGGGAAAATACAGCCGCACAACGGCTGCGGGTCAAGACGCTGGCAACAAGCATTGGGGGTTTTTGCTGGTGAAGGGGAGTGTCACTGGAGACAATGAAGCGAAGAAAATCGAATGGGGTGAGACTCGTGCAGTGAGTGCTGAGTCTTTAGGACTTCCTCTCTCCTGGACGCACTTATCTGCTGGCGGAGGGTCGGGTGTTGTGCTGAGTGACGGCACGCTTGTGTTCCCCATGCAGGCCACAGATAAGGATGGAAAGAATGAGTTGTTGGTCATGCGTTTGGAGGCGTCCAAGGGTAAGTGGACGGTTTCGTGGGAGACGACGGGTGGGGGCTGCAGGGAGCCATCCATAGTGGAGTGGGAAGGAGATCAAAAACTTATTGCGATAGCTCCTTGTGTGGGAGGCTACTACGACGCGTACAAGTCCACTGGGGCTGGTACAGATTGGTTTGGCAGTACGCCAATCACTCGCGTGTGGGGCACCTCACTGAAGCGTCAAGGGGACGGCGTGCGGAGCGGCTTCATCACCGCAGCCATCGAGGACAAGAAGGTGATGCTCCTCACCACGCCTGTGTATTCAGAGGAGAAAAAGGAAGACAACAAAAAAGGAAAGGGCCGGCTGCATCTTTGGGTGACAGACAATGCCCGTGTGCATGACGTTGGGCCGGTATCCAGTGAAGAGCACGACGCTGCCGCCAGCTCCCTGCTGTACAGAAAGAAGAGTGAGAAGGAGGAGGAGTTGGTTTTGCTGTACGAGAAGAAGAATGATGGTGATGACTCATTCAGCCTTGTCTCTGTGCGCCTGACTGCGCAGTTGGAACTGATAAAAGAAGTGGTGAAAACTTGGAAAG